TATGGATAACTCATAACTATCTCGAGACATTTCAAAATGTTAAACTACTGCGAATGAAGGTTTGAGAGGTTTTAGATGATGCTCCGAAGGTGAAAGGAAAAATGGCAAACATTTTGGACATGGCACAAATATTTCAAATTACAAAGTATGATTCGCTACCAAATTTATGATCAATTTTTAGATAACCAGAAAATATTACTTTATTAAACTTTCCCACCCAATATAATTATTTTTTCGATTTTCTCTACATATTTAATATAATCAAAAGCATAATGTATCCAAACACTTGAAATCACCCCTAAATGCTTTTCTTTACCTTTTTTTTTCTAATCATCTAAAGTTGATTGTTTTAATCATAAAAGTTATCTATATTAAAGCCACAATTGTTTTTTCAACGTATCATCACCTTACTTCATGTTCTTGTTCTTCAGTTTCATTTAAAGAAAGAAAGAAAAGGAATTGAAAGAAAGATCGAGAGAGAAAGAAAATATTTATTTTTGTGAAATCTTTACTCCCATTTTTGCGAGGGGAAAAGGAGGGAAGGAAAAGAAAGGATCTTTCCCCTACCTCTCATTCCTTAAAAAAAACTCGAGAACAAGACGTTAATGTAGGCAGTTCGGTAAAAAAAGGGAGAGAACAAGCAAAATAATTGTTGTTGAAGACGCGATTGACTCTTGAATTTCTTACAGATTGTGTTCATTTTCCGCTATGAAGCAACAAAATAATTTCTCATTTCAGTTTCGATGTGTTTTTCTTGTGTGTATATATATAATATATATATATATATATATATATATATATATATATATATATATATATATTACACTCTCCGATGTACAGTAAATGCTTGCATTTCATCTTCCGAATCGATATCTATTAACTATTAAAAAACCCTAGATTGGGGTTCTGATGTAGGTAGATTGAAATTAAACCTAATTAAGGAAAACACGATTTACATTACTAATTTTGAACGTTCGAATGATCTTCGTTCCTTTCCATAATCTATCTATACGATATTCAAGTTCACAATAAATCTACTTTCTCACCATTTCAGATATCTGCAATTGCTTGAATTCGTAATACATTGGCCTATGCAACCAATACATTCTTCTAGAAGCACGAATTTCATTACGTGCTTACTCCCATTATCACCATTATCATCACATGCATTTATGTTTCTTTAAGTTGATACTATTACATTTCTTTTGATTTTTCTTATGTGTTAAGACTACACTATCACACAAATTTCCCGACAAATAACAGAAAATAATCGATTATGTTTGGAACAATAAGAGCTATAACACAAAACTATTCATAAAAGTTTTTTTTTTTACATTCTTTATTCTCAAAATAGTTCAAAAAATACAATTCACATACTTTTGCTCCACATTATTCAAATACCCAAAACCATTCAATTCATCGCCTCCTTCCTCTCCCACCAACAAACCGACCCGGACTAAACCGGGTAAGATCCACAACGGTTGAGCAACCATCCAACACCAGCTCAGCCACCGCAGCTCCGGTGGCCGGACCATTAAGAATCCCCCAACAGCTATGTCCGGTCGCCACAAAACACCCCTTCATCCCGGGAACCTCCCCAATCACCGGAACACCGTCATCCGTAGAAGGCAAGAAACACGCTTGCTCCGCTTTCACTCGAGCTTCTCCTCCCAAATGACTATACACCTTCTCCGCCACCCGTTTCAGAACTCCGATTGAATCCATGTTCGGTTGAATCTCCTCCGGGTCGTCGGGAATCTCTTCCTCCGATGACATTCCACACACGTACACCTCCCCGGTCGGACGGGGATAAATTTCAGGATCCATCGGTTGACCACCGTTGGCCGGAGAATAAGTGAGAAAAAGAGCATCCGGAGTAATCGCATTAGCTTCTTTAGGCTCCAAAACTATACTGTGAGCCTTAACACCATGAACACGAATCACCGACGACAACAAAGTAAACTTACTTGTCCACGGCCCAAGCGCAAGCACCACCGCATCGCCGTCAATCCCACCACCGCCCTCCATCCCTACCCTCACCTTCCCTCCACTTGTCTCTACGCTCTTCACTTTCCCGATTACAACTTTCACTCCATACTCCGCCACCGCTTTCTCGATCAACGTCCGGGTAAACAACTGGGGGTGGACTTGGGCGGTGGTCTCCGTCGTACCGATAGTTTTAGGGCTTTTAGCTGGACCGTCGATCCACGGCGGAAGTGTTGATTTCCGGCTATGTGGTGGTGGTGGGTTTTCTGATTCGGCAACGGAAAGACTTAGGGTGTTGAGTGGACGGTAGCCGTAGGATTCACCGCCGTTTAGTTCTTCGGCAAGTGAACGGTGGAGATTGAAGCTGGCATGAGCAAGGGAGGAGATAGGGCTGCCGTCGCACCAATCGAGAGCTAAGAAGCCACCGGCTTTACCTGATGCTGCGCAGGCGATGGATGATTGCTCGATGAGGGTGACGGCGGCGCCTTTTTTGGAGAGAAAATAGGCCGTGCAAACGCCGATTACTCCGCCGCCGCATACCACTACTCGCTTTTTAGTTGTATCGAGTTTTTGGGGGTCGTCGTCCATGGATGCGCGAACGGTGGTGATGATAGAAACGAGTCTAGAAGAAACGGAAAACGGCGATTTCATCAACGTTTACGAAATCCTAGAACGACGATAAGACTGCAAGACACGTGTCTGTGTAGAACAGACAACCTTAAAGCCCATTTTTCGAAGGCCCGTTTGAAAAAGATCTAGTTATCTAAAATAGAAATTGATCGTGATTATAAACTTATAAATAGTATTTTTAATTTTAACATTTGAATTTTGGTAGTGTGACCCTAATCTCCCAATCTAATAAACAAAACCAAAAGTCCATGTGTTCATTCTAAACGACTGAATTATGCCAAAAGAAAAATACCAATAATACCCCTTCTTTCTTTCACCTATACATCTATTTTGATAATGATAAAAAGAACGCTTTGTTTTGTTTAAATTTTTACTCGGTGATAACAACTATACATATTAACTCAAAATTCATTACATACCCGATTAATATCATGTTATTATGGTATCCAATTTCGTATTTAAGGAATGATATCAATTGCATTTAATTTTCTTTATTACCTCAATTTGATCATATTCTGCTCAATATACACTTCAATTATATGATATGAATCCTTCCTTTACAGCATCGTCTTTCCGACGATTTGCATCATCACAGTCCACGTGATCCTTTACAGCATCGTGTTTCCAAGGATCAAATCATCACAGTCGAAAATTTTCTGTTCAATCAAAGAGTTCAATCCAATCGGTAATTTTATAAAAAACATACTTTCAAATTGTTTGTTTATCTTTTGTTTCTTTTCTGTTGTTTTTTTCACATCACTTTCTGGTTCTCAATGTGTATGCATGTGTGTGACTGCTTAATTGTTATTGGTCATGTGTATATGTATTTAGTTTCTTGATTTCTTGATATACCCCTACCCGTGCATGTGTTTATCTTTTGTTTCTTCTTGTGTTGTTATTTCTGTTTAATATTAACCATCATGTTGATCTAAATTGTTCCTTTACAGCATCGTCTTTCCAAGGATTTGCATCATCACAATCCACGTGATCCTTTACAGCATCGTGGCTTATTGAACTTTTACATATAAATCCCAATAAGTTTCAGTTGGTATGTGGCTTATTGCAAGCTACAGTCTTTTTTTTAGGTTTGAACTTTTGCTCCTCAAAATTGTAGAAAATATACCTAACCACTACATCGATTATTTTTTACATTATAGTAATGCTTTTGTAAATGAAATTGTTTCTATAAACTATTTTGATATGCCTATTCTTTTTTCGAATAGTTTTATGTATTCATATTTTTTCGATGGATGTCTTTTAAGGGCTGAACATGTATACGTTTTTTCATCTATTAATGTTTTTTTAAGGTTTTGAGTTTACCATCCAGGACTTAATGTAAAAGAAAAGATAAGAAACAATATGTCTTACACACATATATCATCTCATTTGAACTTTTATAAGTATTTTTTTTCAAATAAATACTAACAATGGTTTTTAGACGATCTTTACTTGATTTATTTTCTAAAGATGATTAGGCCCATTGTTTTGTTAATAGGGGGTTTTGAAGTAACCCTTGGAAACAATTATACTTTAAGACTTTGCAGCTAATAATTAATGTGATTGCAACTTCAGTTGGTTTGGATATGATAGGCATAGCTAGCCTTGGTGGGGATGATAGGAAGAAGAAATGTGGCCATGTACAAAGTCAAGGTAACATTTTGTATATTTCAAGTAAATATGATTTTTGTTACATCTGATGGAATAGAAACGAATAGCATAAATTTGTAAATATGTTAAAACACCAATAAATAAAAGTAAGTTTCTATTGTTGCAATAGCAACGTACTTTCATTTGATTGATGTTTTATAGCATTCTACTTAAAAATACAGATTCTTTTTGAAGCAGTAAAATATTGGACTAAACAATAAAGAACGGTTTTAATGATCCAACCCCATGTTTATTGCCGGTGCAGTGAATTCCACGTAATCGTTTCCGACATTCTCATATAGTTATGATTTGGTTTTAATATGGTTTTTTGCGAGCTGAATGCTTTGATGAACTTTTTTTCAACTTTTTTCGGTAGTTGAAGTTGTAGTGATTAATTGAATTTATGATAACCGGTGGAATGATGAGGCTGGTAAGAAAAAAATGAAAGGGATTATGTTACAAAAAAATTAAGTTTAATGTTATACTTTTATATTTAGCCATTATTAGAGAGCATCAAAGGTTATATGATATTATGTTTGGGATATATTCAATTACCTATCTCAATGAAAAATCGTGGTTTACCTTGTATATAATTTGGGCATTTTGCTGTTTATTTGGAACAGGTAGATATCAGTTACTATTCATTACCAATTGTTGATACAGATGAATTCATGCAATCAATCTTTTCGGTAAGTGTTAATTCATTTAAATGCATGTTCCTAAAAAAACAACCCTTTCATGGTTTTTTTATCCATGGTGTGTCATTTTTGATACTAATGGGATTAAGTTTGTATAGTAATTTCCAACATCTGCTTTGAATGGTCCACATACTCTAAACATGTGTATGGTTTGGAGGAATTGGGAGTAATAAATATGAAGGATTTGAAATTACAATCCTATTAGTTATCATGTCTGGTTAAACAAATTGAAGATTTTATATTAAAAAAAATCATTTGTCTGTGTGTTTTTATATTTCCTTCCATACCCCAAGAATTTCAAAATCAAAATCCATAAATATTCTGAGTTTAGAATAAATTCGCTCTAATAAGTCTTTATAATCAAAGATGATTTCACAGTTTTCTAATCTCAACCCCTCTTCATCTCCTTATATCGTTCTATTATCAAAGACGACTTCAGGTTAACCATCCCCACATAATCCCTGTCATCTTTTTTGTGACAACCCGAAATTTCTATTCTGTACAACCATTCACTTCAATAGGAGTTAAAACTGTTTCTGCTAATTTTCAAGCTTTTTGGAATAAGTTTGAGTATTTTAAGATTAGTACTTCAGGAGATAACAGGAGAGAGGATGCCCTAGGGTTTATTGTGCAACAATAATGTCGCAAAACTCCAAGAGTTTGGAGTTTACGGGCTAAACAAAGGTGTTTACGGCCGTAAACCCTAAAAAGAGGGTATAAATATGACACTTAGTCATTATTTATCACTTTTCACAATTTCAAGATCCAAAACTCAATTCTCTCTCAAGTGTCATCGACTTTTCTTCTTGATCTTCAACATTGTAAGTGTTTCTAGCCCTAAAAAGTTGATATCTTACTTAATCTAGTGATCTAACATGATTCCATCCGTGAAATCATTCCAAAAGTGTAGATCTTCAAGTTTCACCAAGAACACACACTAGTGTTCTTGGACTTTTAGCACCTTTTCAAGCTTCTACCTAGTAAGTACTTCTATCCTAGAGTATTATAGAGCTTGTTACACTTCTAAACATCAAGAAAACACCTAAGAAACCAAGGATCAAAGGTGTTTACGGTCCAAGATGTTCTTGGACCGTAAACCCCAAAAAGGGTGCCAAAGTGTGCCCTAGTCCCTTCTAAGCCTTGGAAACTAGCCTAGATCCATTCCTTGATGTGCTTAGTACTTGAAAACATCAAAAGACCATAAACCATTTGGGTTTACGGCCGTAAACCCAAAGGGAAATGGTCCAAGGACCGTAAACTCCTAAAAGGAGTGAAATGGTGCCCTAATCTCTTCCTAAGGCTTAAACATGAAGTAGGAATGCTTCTTGTGATCTTTAAGGCTTCAAAACACAAGATGGTCAAAGAAACATGAGTTTACGGCCGTAAACTCATGGGTTTACGACCGTAAACTTAATGAGTTATGGTCACAAAACCGTAAACTCCAATAAAGGGTTCCCTTGAACCCTAAACTCAATAGCAATGTCCTACAACACTTAGATGCAATCCTTAGGACTTATAGCACTTAAATAAGGTGTTTTACATGTCCTAGGATGTCTTAACTTTGTTAATTAGTTGTTTAAAGACTAATTGGATACATATATGTGATATTATATGTTAACTAGGATCATCGTGTGTGTACAAGTCTTCACTTGACACCTAGCATCCTATACATTCCGTTCATCCAAACCACTCACTACAGGTGAGTTCATACCCCTTAATTAACCTTTTAAATGTTTTTAAATGCTTTTATGGGGGGGGGGATACAAGTTGAACTATTATAGTTATTATATCAATCACATGTGATTAATAACTACCAAACAAGTGGATTTCTTACTTTTCAAACTGTGTTATCAAACTGTTTTACTTCAAACTGCTTTACAAACTCTTTTACATATCAAATACTTTTATTAAACTCTTTTAACTTATATTCTGTGTATCTATATGGATATAATTATATAAGTAGGATTGAAAGGACTTAGGACTGATAGCTCACCTTACTTCCTGTTCCTTGTTTGGTTGTGGACTTAGGGTATTCGGGTTATTTGTTCGAAGGTCGTTTGAATCCTAGTTATATATCATGTATATGTGTATAGATATAAAAGGTTACTTCTTTCATTCAGTTCAATGCCTTTGGGTAGCAAGGGTATACAAACATGTTCATATACACAAACAACATTACTAGTAAACTATAATAGGTATAGTTTAGGAAGATACTATTACTAGAACAATGAAACATACAATGAGTCAGTTCATTCATGAGTAATACATAGTGATGAGAAACAAACATAATACATAGTGATGAGAAACAAACATAATACATAGTGATGAGAAACAAACATAATACATGGTGATGAGAAACAAACATAATACATAGTGATGAGAAACAAACATAATACACAGTTATGAGAAACAAAACATACAGGCTAGACAGAGAAAGACCACACAATACACCTAGCACATACATATACATATACATATACATTACTTACAGTTATGTGAGCCACTTAACGGGGGCATGGCACTACCTGTCATGACCCGTTTTGTATCCAGAATCTCCTTAAGTGGAGAGCGTATGAGTTTGTGTATAGATCTATACTGGATTGATTATCCTACACCTTGCTGCTCGCTACAGTGGGACTTGCAAGTCTACGGGTGCCAAACGTCATTTCTTACGAC